CAAACAATCACTAAATGAACTGTTGTAAGTCGAGGACTACCTGTACTGTTCCACCACATTTTCCTTGAGAGTACTTATACTCTTTGGCTTTCCTTTTATTCCGAACATACCGCTAAAACATTCCCCCTCCCCTTATTTTTATGTCTCTTACAAGCCTTAGCTCTTTCTGAATGTTAGCTTTTAGAGAAAGTTCTTATGTTTCTAAAGGCCACTTTGTATTCTTCTTTGGTTATATTCTCTTACTTCTATTTCCTCAGCGTGCCCTTTTTTTCCATGTTTTTGATTATGTGCCATCAGGTTGTTTTCAACTTTTAGCAACCACAGAGATGCATTTCCCCTCCCCCTCAGCCCCATGGCAATATTTTCCTGTTTTTCCAAGTCTCTCAATGGTGTGTACACTCATTGCCACTATATAAACAAATTCCATCCATCCATCCATCTTGCTGCTGGTCATTCTCTTCTTCCCTGTCCTTACACCTTTCCCAGCCTTAGAATCAGAGGTGGGATTCAGCAGGTCCTGACCAGTTCTGGAGAACCGGTAGTGGAAATTTTGAGTAGTTTCAGAGAACCAGCAAAGACCACCTCTGACTGGCTCCACCCCCATCTATTCTCTGCCTCCTGAGTCCCAGCTGATTGGATGGATCTTCTTTTGTTGCCCTGCAAAGGAGAACAGAGCTGGAAAGTAGGTTAGTGAGGTAGGGAGGGAGTGGGGATTTTGCAGTAACCTTCCCCCAGGAGTGGGGAGGGAATTGAGATTTTATAGTATTCTTCCCCTGCCACACCCACAGAACTGGTAGTAAAAAAAATTTGAATTTCACCACTGCTTAGAATCTGTTGTCAACTATTTTATACTTTCTATTTATCAGATTTTCTTGGTAAAAATATATCACAGGAGTGGCCTTCTCCAGCATGGTATGATTGCCATTGTAACTACAGTAACTGTCTGCCTTTGACATTTTCTTATATTGCTGCTGCCCAGTACAGGTGCCTGCTTGCTTCACCCTGGGCATGAGTTGGGATTAGGTTGGTACCCTGGGTGACCCTGCTGAGAATATACACTTTTGGCATACACTTCTGACATTCTTTGTTCATCCTCCCCACCCCGGGACACCTCCCACCACCACCACTCCCAGTAGGAGTTGAAGATGAGGTCTTCGGCATGTGATTGGATCCTTATTGTATCTACCCTTGGCTTCAATATTTCTTCATTACCCCTTCTAGTGAGGATTGTGGTGATTTTGCTTTCACTATTCAATTTTGTAGGATTGGTCAACCTTCCTTGATACTTTTCTCCTTTGGGATTTGAAGCCATTATTTTCAACCTACCTTTCCTAAGTTCCTAAGAGTTCATCAGAATTAGATCTTCTGAAGTTGGATGTACAGATCCAACTGTTCTCAATCCTTTCACTTCTGGATATCATGACTACTTTACAAACTCATACAGCAGCATTATTTGGGTATTTCTTCCCTTTACAGGATTTCCATGCTCTGATTCTTAAGATTTTTGTTCTAGAATATTCTTCTCACTACATACAATACACCAGAAGTGGTATTTAGCAGGTTCTGACCAGTTCTGCAGAACCGGTAGCCGAAATTTTGAGTAGTTCAGAGAACCAGCAAATACCACCTCTGACTAGAAATTTTATAGTATCCTTCCCCTGCCATGCCCACCAAGCCACGCCCACACAACCGGTAATAAAAAATCGTTTTAATCCCACCACTGCAATACACCATACCCCACCCAGGATCTGGTTTTTTTTAAATAAACTATAACTCCCGAGTTGTGGATTAATCATGAGTGAAATCTCACACTTGTGACACCTATCATGCTTGGCTTTCTCAATTAGGTTAGGATCTTAGTTCCCCTTGTTTAGTGCTGGCTTGAATATTACATTCATACAAACATAATAACCACCTGTGCCATAGTTAGGCTGTTTCATCCAGATTGTTCCTTTTTTATTTTTCTTCTTATATTTCTGGGAGAAAGCTGAGTTTTGCCTACCTCCAAGTTTCAAATCTCTTCATGATCTATGGTGAGTTTGTGTCCATTGTGTGCTCGCTTTTCAAGTTGGTATATGGGTTCATCTATGGCTTCTTGGCTGCAACAACCCATCACCAGAAGTGGCCTAACCATTATTATATTTAACTCAGTCCTTTTGCAAATTCTGTAGTGGGCCCAGCCCTGTCATTACTTATTCAGTAGCCTTGAGTTCTCCAAAGATTAACTGAGTGTAGTCTCCTTTCCGATGTGACATAAGCAACCACCTGTGAGATATAAATTCATGAGATAAATTCATAAATTCACGAGGTAGCCAATACATTCTCTGCTGGAAAATGCATTTCATTATGTAGAGCTGCCAAATCCGGCCTATAAAAAACAGGAACACTTTTAGATGGCAGCATAGAGTTGGAATATTTTGCAGGGTGATATGGAATTTGTAATCTTTCCTTAAGGACTTGGAGAGGAAGCAATGCTGGATTCCTAATAAGCTTGTTCGGTATTGTGGGCAACATGTGTGAATAAAGTTAGGCTGATTTATGTTTCTTCACCTCTGTTTTCACTTCTTGGGTTTCTCAGATATTTAAGAGAATAAACTAGTATCCTAGGGAAAGAGCACGAAAAAAATATCTCTTCTTGTTCACTGACCATTTCCCCTTAGCTGTAAGATGGGGGCTGGGGGAGAGAATCATTTAATTGGCACAGTGGCTCAAATACTCTTTCAAGCCATCCACCCAAAAGAAGCCAAAGAGCATAAAAAGGAACAGGAAGCTGCTGCCAAATCTTGGCATCCTTTGGCTAGCTAAGCCTAGATAGTGCATTCCAGTGGGAGTGATCAGGTTGCGGAGATATCTGGACATCATTGCTATGCAGGACTTCCTATCAGAAGAAGTGGTTGGTTGGAGGCGTCTCTGCACCTATTTCTTTGGAAGCAGTGCTGTGGTGAAAAAGAGGAGGAAGTTGCCATTCTCTTTTGCTCTCTTCTTGCTTTGGCTGGGAAAGGGCCTGCTGGAGAGACCTCGGTTTTCCCATTAAACTTCCAGAGGATCAACCTGCACTGGACCAGGCAGTCATCAGGTTAAGATTGCCCTTGCTTGGCAACTGTATGGAGACCAGAGGATCCAGACCTATTCTGCTTTATTAGGAAATGCAGCAGGAACAGTTGAGCCATCTAGAGCCAGAGGGATGGCTCTCCGCAGCCTGGTCAGAGTAGAAGTGGGTGGGAAAGTACCAAAGAAACCAATTCTTCCTGGCCAGAGTGGAAGCTTAGAGGAGATGGACCCTCCCTCGCCCTTTCTCCACCCTGCAGTGTGCAAGGCTAATGGGATGGCGCGGCCTTCCTCAGTTGCCCATTTCAAGGGCAGCAAGCAGGCTTGGAAACCCCAAGAGAGGGGATGGGAAACTCTGCAGGTTTCTTTGCGGAGCGCCTCCTCTTCTTTGCAGGAAAAAGGAAGGCGAGGGCCGCTAGACGTACAGGTGGCATTTGCTTCTCCCTTAGCAAAGGAGCGCAGTGCAAAAGGCGATTCTGTGCGGGGAGGGGGGGGGCGAGGAATGGCACGCGTAAGGAGGGCCCCCATACTACGAAGAAGCCTGGTTAGCGCTGGGTAACTGTCCGAGTAACCTCTTGGCATCCAGGTTCAAATTAACCCCTGTTGAACGAGCCGCTCTTGAGGCGGGTGTCCAGAAGCTAGCGGGGGCGTTTGTAAATGGAAAACGCCTCGAGAGACCCTGCCTTAAGGAAAAGCCCAAGCGAAGGTGCCTCCAGGCAAAGAAGGGGGTGGTCCCATCAAGAGGGGGGGAGTTCACCGCCCCCCCTCCAAATGCTTGAGAGCCGCCTTAGTGCTTCTCCCGTTCCCCGCCTTCCTAGATTCTCCAGCTGCGGATGGCGCGTTTGCTGGCTGGCTCTGGTTCCTCCACAGCCCCGAATAGTTCCGCCACAGGTTGCGGAGGGTGGGTGGGAGGGTTTTCCTCTGTGGGACGCGGGACTTTCCTGCCGATCTCCTGCCTCTTCACTTCTGAGGCGAGAAAGAGGATGCGCAGCGCTGGTTCTCTTTTTGGCCCAGCGGGAACTTCGGCGCCTTCCTCACACGGAAAGGTTGGCGAACGCGGGACGAAAGAAAAGCGCTGCTGCCTGAGGTAAAGCGGGCCCCGGTGGTGCCTCTGGCAGTCGGCCACGCTTCGGGATCGACCCAACGAGACCCCCCCCTTCGCATTCAGGTTCAGCTGGTCTGAACTTCGGAGCTCTCCTTGAGGCAAACTTGGTGAGCTCTCCTTGCAAGCTTCCGTCGCGCCGATAAGGACCCGAAGGTTTCGCCCCTCGGAGCACGTGCAGAGCGCGTCTTGAGCTTCGCCTGGAAACTGCTCCAATCAAGGACTTCGGTTAAATAAACACAAGAGCGAAACAGTTTCGACTGAGCTGAAGCTGCGAAGCCCAGCCGAGACCATTCCCCACCAGGATTTCTCCCCATGGCTTGGGGCCCTTAAGCGTAGCTCTAGCCCACGGCCGGGTGTGCGTGTGTGTGTGTGAGAGAGAGAGAGAGAGAGAAAGAAAGAAAGAGAGAGAGGGTCTTCCGCGGCCAAGACCCGGGGCCTGAAGTTTACTGACTTAGAAGAAACCCACCAAGACTCGCGCAGTTTCGCTGCCTTCCAAGCCAAGGAGGCACTGAGCTCGTTTGCCGAGCTTTTCTCTCCAGGATGTCGGGGTAACTGTCAAGTCGTAGGCGAGGTTGTTTGAGCTGATCCCCCCCCCCCGTCCCCCCAGAGAAACAAACACCTCGGGTAGTGACTGGAATGAGTTTCAGGGAAACGGTCTGGGGCAGCTGATCACCTCGCAGTAAAACTCCCGCTGGAGTTTCGCAACCCCGAGTCTAATCAAACTGGAGCGAACTGCGGGAGATTCCAAATCGCCGCCGCCTTTTTGGACCGGTCAAACTTTGCTTCCCTGAAGGAACCACAGGCTGATGTCCTCACTCCCGAGACGTCCAGCCACTGCACCATTTACCTTGATCCGCTGTCTTCGATCTTTTTCTTTTTTTGGGGGGGGGGGGGCTGATCTGCCGGAGGGTGCCGAGGAGCCCCCGCCTCGAGCGATGTTCGGCGATCGCCCGTCACCCAATTGGGCCGGGCTGTCTTTTTCGGCTGCAGTGAAACCTCCAAAGATGTCCGAGATACTTGGGAATTGGGGATCAGGCTGAGTCCAGGAAAAAGAATCGTACTGATCACCAAGTTAACAATGATGCGTGCTAAACTCAATCTTTAAGCAAATTGTCAGTTCGCACGGAGTGAATTTCTTCACCGGTGGAAGAATTAAAGTGCTATTTTACTATTTTAAATACCATAAAAGTCAGCAAGGTATTCCCCACCCCCGCCACAGACACACACTCCAGAATCATGGCTCTTTAGCTTTCCAAACTTCTCCGTTCAGGGGTAAATTAAACAGAAGGGGGAATGGGCTAGAATTTAATATTAGAACAACAAGGGTAAAGATTAATACCTTGCAAGCATATTTTATACATACATCGGGTGGTTTGGAATAATACAACACAAAACTCCACTGGGGGGGTACTTCTGATACATCTGTAACTACTTTTCAATACTCAAACGTAAAAGCATTTGCCCGCTTTCCTCCTTTTGAGGTCGTCCTTTGAACGGAAAAAAAGTCGGGACGTTCGGCTGAGATCTGAATTATTGGAGCTTGAAAGGTATTAAGATCTGCAAGCTTTTTCTTAAGCTTACTAGCCGTGCAACAGGATTAAGCAGCTTTCTGGATTGAAGCGTTTTCTGGATTCCAACAATAAACTGAATTCCGTAAGAAAGTGCCCAAGCAGATAAAGATAGCATGCTAATCGTCTGAAAGATCCATTAAGTTTTAGCACATCATCAGAATGGATCTACTAGGACTTTAACAGACAAAGTGAACTGGGTGGTGTAAGCAGAGTTTATGCAAACGCCTTTCTGACACAGGAATCTGACTTAATTGGGGTGGGGGATGCGGCTGGAGAAATGTCCTGCCTCGAGCACTTCGCCCCCAAATAGTATTAAGGGCCCATAACTAATCTGATGATTTGAGTACAGCCAGTACACATCTTCTATCTCTTTATCCATCCGTTTAGAGTACGTTGTTTTATATTACAATAGATAATGGAAGAAAACGTCAGATTTTATAATACAGAACTGAGCGGGTGGGCTGGTTTCGAGACGTCTGGCTGGGTTCTGCAGGGGGAGAAGTGGGAGAGGAGGGGTCAGTTTATTGAAAGGCGTTAATATTCCCGGCGGGAGGGGGAGAATTAGACCGGGAGGTTGAAATAGCTTCGCCTTTTAACTTCCAGCCGAAAAACAAAAATCTACCGAAACGCGTCCCCACCACAGGCTTTTTTTTTTTTTTTTGCCAACGGCCCCGCTCGGATCGTGTTTGCTCCGGGCGAAAGAGTGGCCTGAGTGACTGAGACCGCCGTTTCCAAGCAGGCAGGAAAAGCCCGGAATACTTAGTCCCGGTCGCCGAAGTAGCGCCGTTTCCCTCCCGCGCCAGCCCGAGCGAAGGGCACGCGGAAGGCGAGTCGCAGGAGGCGTTTCTCCCTGGCCCCCGGCGAGTGGATTCGGCTCGGAAGTTGTTGGAAGGAGGGGAAGAAAGAGGCGGTTGGGTGGGCTGGTAGGGCTTCCTCCTCCGAGAGCCTAGGAGCAGCTGTTAGGTTAAACCGCTGCTAGGGCATTGAGGTGGGACCTGTCCCGCCTTAGCCCGCCTGGGCGCAGGTGGTACCAAATGCGAGGAAAGGACGGAGGAACAGCGGGCCAAACCCCAGTTATGTACTCTATTCAAACTATGACCGAGGGAGGGAGGGAGGGAGAGAGAATTTTAAGTACCAGTTCTAAACCTGCCCTTCTAACCAAGGAAAAGGTGCGGAAACACACACACGTGTATACTTTAAGTGCCAGTCTCTTGTTCTTTTTTTCTCACTCACAAGTTTTAACTGCGAATTCTAAGCCTCCCTCTCTAGCCAGGAAAAGCTGCGGAAATACACACATACACAAACACGTGCGTGTGTATATATGTGTGCGCACCTTTTCCTGACTAGAGATGGAGGCTCACTTCTGACACTTCCAACTTTCTAGCTAGGCTCCCAGGCCCCCTGGGATTGGAGAAGCTGCCTGCTTTTATCTCTGGGTAGGCCCCGGGAATATTCATTCTCGGAAATAACGCTTGCTGAGCCCCCTCGCGCTGACCTCCAATCGAACCTGCTTCCATTCGGGTTCTCCGCCCCGCAGTCCTCCCCGTCAGAAAGCAGCCGTCCCTCAGGTCAAGCATCCCCCACTTCGTCCAGAGAACCAGGGTCGGGTATGGGTTGTTTCCCCAGAGAGGCCTAAAATCTGATCTCGCGCGTTCAGACGACGCTCCATTCCGGGGCATTCTAGCGAAAGGAGGTCGTGGAAACCAACGGAGCTCAACAGGGTCCAGAGCTTTAATAGGGAGAGCCCCAAATCCGTTTCCCTGGGCAAATGGCCCTTGAGGCAATGGAGGGTGGGTGGGTGGGTGAGTTTGAGGGGAGGGGTAAGCAGGTGAGATCTCTGTGCAGGCAAAGCCCAGATGCAGGAAGGAAAGGAAAACCGGTTGCAAGACCCGGGAAGTCAGCGGGTCAGAGTTCTAGTCCGGCGCCCAAGGGAAGAATCCGAGGTCAGCTGAAGCGCCCCTCCCGTTTCTCTTATTCACGCGGGAATTTGGGACCTGAGCGTTCAAACCGGCCTGGGCAGTCAGTCCCTCAGTGAGGTCAGCAGAAAAGCCCCCACCCCCGTTTCCTTGGCAGCGGGGAGAGGTTTTGAACGGCTCGGTGTCTGTTCCTTCTGAGGGGGGTGGGGGGGGCATCTTCCATCCCACCCACAAACGAGCCGAGCCCGCGGTGCCATCTCTCGCTCTCGAGGTTAAAAGTATAGAAACTTGCTTTGAGTGGCGGTCCTGGCTTCCAGCTCCCGTTGCTTTCCTCGGCGCTCCTCTCTCAGACCCAGGCCCGCCCCCACCCCGACTAAGCTCAGAGCTGACCCCCGCCGCCCCAGGGTCCTGCCTGGGCCGGCGGCTTCCCTCGCACTTCGCTCCCGAAACAGCCGGAGACGTCCCGGGTCGCCTCCAGACTCACCCTTTCCCTGGTGGGCTTCGCGACCTCTCCCTCCGCCCAGGACTCCCCTGAATCTTTGGAGAGGCGGACGGGGCGGCGAGTGAGCGGCCCCTTTCCCCCGCCCGGGCAGGCAAAACCAGGAGCGGGCGGTAGCGCTGCTCTCTCTGAACTTGGGGGAGCGAAAAGAAGATCGGGAGTCTCTGGCTGAGGCGGCTCCTGAGCAGCGCCTCTGTCGCCTGCTGGGTGGTCTGTGCCAACTGCTCTCCCGGGGGCTCGGAAAGTATTGGGGGGCCTCGGCTCTTGGCAGCGGCTGACTCAGAACATCCGGGGTCTTTTTGTTGGTAAGAGGAACCCCCGCTCCGTCCGGGCTGCTTGGGAAAAGCGAGGCCTACTTCTTTCAAGCCGCTTCCTTGCAGCCCCGGAATGATGGGTCTCAGTTTAAAAAGGAGAGCTGCAGCGAAGCGGGCTCTTTGGGTCCGAAGTCTGGCCCAGCGCATCGATTTCAATGGAGGCTGAGCAGACTAGAATCTGGGTATATATTTTCCTTTTGAGTAAGGGCCACCAATCGCCAGGGAGTCATGTTAAAGAATTTTTTTTAAAAAAGAAATCTTACTTCATTTTGTTGAGGTTGGAAATGACTTGGCAAATATGAGATTGGTTGGCTTTGCTGTTGCTGGGAAAAGAAGTTGGGTCTTCCCCCAAGATGAATCTTGTTCCCTTATTAGCAAAGGAAATAAAACTAACCCGGCTGAAAGATCAGGGGCAGTGTTGGGTTGGACCTATCTTCTGGAAAGTATTTTCCAGCCCAGGCAGTAGATAGAAGTTGGAAGCTGTGGCCTTAGCAAATGGGAAGGATCCTCAGACTAGGATCTAGAATCTAGACATGGGAGAAGAGCAAAAGAGACTACTTGCTCCTCTTATTTCAATTGATCCTGTTGCTGCATCCCTTTGAAATCTTACGTGGAAGATGGGACACTTTCCTAACTAAATTATCTTACCCTCTGTAAGCTTGTCAGTCTCCCCATACAGTCTGCTAAATCCCTTCTTATTGAACCTGACCCCTTACAAAACCCCCCTAATCAAAATATCTCCTTTGGGGACTCTGGTCCACCAACAGGATTGAGTAAGATCATCATTCTGACCCATGTCTTGTTGAAAGTTTGTTGGATTCCTTTGGGGTCCCTTTGGGGTGGCAGCTTCATCAATGGGTTAGAATTGCCTTGGCCAGACAATAGGAGGCACACCATCGCCAAATCAGGATGGCCTGACCCCTCCCCCATCACTGTAATAGTACAATGGCATCACTTAGAGAATTGGTGGTTTAACCTCTCCTTAGCTGCTATGCTGCCGCCTCCTCCTCCTCCTCCTCCTCCTCCTCTTCTTTCACTTTTCCTTGTACAGGCCTCTGTTCTGCCAGTTCTGATGAAACATAACTGGCAACTGGGAGATTAATCAAATAATAAAACTAAACTAAAAATACCAGAATCAAAAATCTAGCAGTCTCAACTCTTGTTTGTATTTCATTAGTATATCAGGGTGAGAACTTGTAGGCCTTACCTATTTTGGGAAAATATTTTAAGAAGCTGAACAGTTACATTTCAGGGTTTCATAAAAACAAGGTATATATTAAAATTTTGCAAGATTCCATACAAGCAAGAAAGAGGACAGGTTTTTAACTTGCCTTGCTCCCTTTTATAGCATTATTTGGAAAGTACAATGAGCAGAAGACACAAATACATGAGAAACTTCAAAATAACTGCAGGGAAGCAATTCCTTTTCTCCTCTTTTGTAATGGTAGCTAGTCTATAATGAAACCTACTCTAGAATAAGATTAGGTTGCTTATATGAAGCTGATCTTTCTTAGCAAGGCAACAGGCCACACCAACAGCATTTTGAAGACATTGGAACAACAGAATTTGTGTGACGAAGTTATGCTTATACCATCTCTTCAGACAGGACAGAAAAAACGAAACAACAGAAGTGAACAAAGTAGTGATTTATTGGCATATTTCGGGAAATTTGCACGTAATTGCCATGGATTTCTAACTATGCAATAGATCTACGCATCTATTGCCTCTCCAATATACTGTTAAATTGAGATTATTTATTCAACACACTTGTGATTAATAGGGGTAATTTTTTTCTATGGAATATTGTGGACATTTTTCAGTTTTGGTATTCTTGCACTCAGAGTTCCTTAAATTCCAAGCATACATATCCAACTCCAGTTGATGGACATTGGAGCCTACCCCAGTTGTGCAGAAACTACAGCCTGCCTCATGAGGGAAAAGAGGATAAGCAGTTATTAAGAAAACACCAAGAGCTGAAATATGCATATAGAAACAGTATTCAATCATTTGTCATCTTTGCTGTTAAAGTGCTTTGGGCTGAGACCTCTTGTTCCAACTGTATCTGTTCCTTGACGCCGGCATATTTTAAAAATTGAAGGCAACTATTTTCTGGTTGCAAAAGAAAAATGTCCAGAAAACATTAACATTGGTCTACATTGGTACCTAACTTCTAAGCCTAGAAAATCATGAAAACTCTAGCAATTACCTTCCTTGGAGTGCAGACCAGGAGGACATTATCAAAAGCTGGAGATATTTGATAAGAACAACAAGAAGACAGAAATACCAGTGTGGAAGCTGTGGTTTGCTTCCACAATTTGGTGGGATACTGGAGAACTAAAATTAAGGCTCTGGCATGTGAAGAAGTCCTCTAGTCTAGGGGTCGCCAACCTTTTGGACCTCAGGGACCACCAAACTCATAAGTTTAGATCCTAGGGACCACTAACTGGTTCTGTGGGCATGGCCTAATTTGTGGGTGTGGCTTGGTAATCATGTGACTGGCTGGGCATGGCTTGTATGTAAATATTATAAATATTTATATAAATATTGAATTTTTTATAAAAAAGAGCAACTTTTACCCAAAATCAGGCAAAGCAGGCAGGCAGATTGAGTTGCTCACAGAATCACAGATTCATACAGAAATCTATCTATCTGCCATTGGCTAGCTCAGTCTGTCACATAAAATTTGCTTGCAAGCAAACTCATAAAATTAACTCACATCACACCATGTATGTAAATATTGATTTTTTTATATAAGAAAGCAACTTTTATCCAAAATGAGGAAAAGCAGGCAGATTGAGTTGCTCACAGAATCATTCA